ATTTTTTCAGCTAGTGTTTGCCTCTGGTATTGGACCCTTGACAAATCTCAGAGCTCTGATTATCTCTGTGACTGAAGTCTGATCAAGATTTTAATATCTTTAAGAGATTGATTCTTGGGAAAAGCAAAAGTTTTTTTAAAATTTTTAAAATTTTTAAAATTTTAGGCACCATAATTTATAAAACTTTTTTTTAGTGAAACACCATGAGGTACAGTTATAGACTTACAAACTTTCGTGCTTGGGTTTCAGTTATACAACTATTGAGTACCCATCCCTCCACCAGTGCCCATTCTCCACCACCAATGATCCTAGTAGCCCTCCCACCCCCCCACCCCATCCCCCCACCCCACCCTGCCTTTGTGGCAGGGCATTCCCTTTTGCTCTCTCTTTCCTTTAGGATGCTGTGGTTTGCAATAGAGGTATTGAGTGGCCATCAAGTTCAATCTGAGGTCTACTTTCAGCAAGCATCTTGCATCCCGAGTGAATCCTCCAAATATCCTTTACTTAGAGTTCCCTTCTTTATCTGAGCTGCCTTTCACCCCAGCACGTGCTGCCAGCTTGCAAGCCGTGGAGCAGACATCTGCACTTGTATGTTCATTGCTGCACTGTTCACAAGAGCCAAAATTTGGAAAAAACCCGAGTGCCCGAGAACAGATGACTGGTTAAAGAAACGTTGGTACATTTACAGAATGGAATACTATGCAGCTGTTAGAGAAGATGAAGTCATGAAATTTACATACAAGTGGTTCTACATGGAAAGTATCATGCTAAGTGAAATGAGACAGAAAGAGAGGGACCGATATAGAAAGACTGCATTCATCTGGGAAATATAAAGTAACAAAATGGTAGACTAACACCCAAGAATAGTTGAGATAAGCAAAGGATTTTGACCGCAGTTCCTTCTAAGACCAGTCAGAGCTTCTAAGTGATTGAACTCCTACTGTTATACAATTTTCAAAAGCTCTTAACTACAGAGTGATGGAGAACAATAGGACCTAAATTAAAAACTTGATTCTTGGGGACCCATGAGGTGCCAGGCATCAAATCTGGGCCTCCTACATGCAAACATATGCTAAGTCTGAGGAGTCATCTCTGCAGCCTGGCAGTGGAGGACTTCTTCATGTGAGAGCAGCCATGAATTAAGTAATATGTGCGGTAATGTGCCTTAGAACTGCTGTTATGTAAAGGAATTCATACAGCACTTAGAGGCAGATATTATTATCCCATTTTTACAGAGGAGAAATCTAAGGCTAGCTGTCATTCAATTCATACCAAAGTCTATCTTATGATACTTAAGGAAAGGAATAGAATGGAAGGGAAAGTAAAAAGGAAAAAAAAAGAAACAAAAAGGAAAAGAAAGGACCAGCCAAGTACCACCAAGTCACCCTGGAGCCTCTCAAGCGTCAATGTGTGGTAATTCTTTTTTTTGGGGGGGGGGTCACACCTGGCAATGCACAGGGGTTACTCCTGGCTCTGCATTCAGGAATTACTCCTGGCGGTGCTCAGGGAACCATATGCGATGCTGGGAATCGAACCTGCGTTGGCTGCATACAAGGCAAACACCCTATCTGCTGTGCTATCACTCCAGCTCCAGTGTGTGGTAATTCTGTTGGCCCCAGAACCACTGAACCCAATAATATCATATCACTTGGGACCAAACATTGAACTATCTTGTCCAGTTTCTTGTTTAACAAATCATAAACTCCATAACCAAATAGTGCTGTTTTCAATGTCTATTCTTCTGTTCACGTTCTTTAATCAAATAAGCAAAGATATTCAAGAATCTGTGTACCTACTTTCTCTATTTTCTCACACTCCTTTCTTTACTGCAAGTGCTATTACCAAGGTCATTAATAATGCTGTGTTGTTTGAAATTACCAACGACTATGAGCTTCCGTTTCATGTTCAGATCTTCCAACGTGAGTAATTGACTGGTTAATTTAATTAATTTATTTTTTTCTTGGCTTCATAGCAGCATACCAAGCTAGCAGCCACAACGAACTAGAACACCCCTTCTTGGCTAAGGTGCCCACAGGAGCTCTTAGGAGCCAGAGGGGACTCCTGTGGTTTTAGAAGTGCGCTGGAAGTACAACTGTAACCCAGGACCTGCCCCCAAACGGGCCCCTCCCCTACAGGTACAGTAGTGACTAGCAATGTTCTAAGCTTGGAATCTGTGACATATGATAACTTTTTATTCTCTGCTGTGAGCCTGCATAGTTGATTTTAAGAAAATATCATGCATGTGAGTTCTATATCCTTTAACTTTTTTTGGTATTATTTCATAGCAAGACTCCTATCCAGGGAAAGAACTGTTCTCTTGGAAAATCTACATATGAATAAGGAGTCAATGTTCTGAATAGGCAAATTCAAATTTGTACATTGGCTCGAAGAATATGAAAGATACAGTAACAAATACATCCGATTGCTTTGGGAACATTTAAATTTATTTTTAATTTTTTTAAATTTATATATTTTTTGCTTTTTGGGTCACACCAGGCAATGCACAGGGGTTACTTCTGACTTTGCACTCAGGAATTACTCCTGGAGGTGCTCAGGGGATCATATGTGATGCGGGGAATCGAACCGGGTTGGCCGCATGAAAGGCAAACTCCCTACCCGTTGTGCTATTGCACCAGCCCCAAACATTTTAATTTATATCATGTGATATGTTTAATTTTTCTACTAGATACTAGTCTTTATGAATACATAGACTTTTTTGCATTATTAACTGAGCTAATAGTTTAAAACACTGCACATGTTAAGAATACAGTTTCACGCTTATTTACACTTATGTTTTCATACACTTCCACCACCAAAATAAAAGTGCCCTTCCACAAAAGTTCCTGAACCTTCTCCTCCAATACTGGTTTTATTTCCCATACCCATTTCGCTAAACTTCCTTCTGTTGTCACAAGCCAAGGACTTCTAATGATTTGGCTTTGTGAGATTCTTTTATTTGATTAGTTTTATAATTTTTTAACTTTTTTTTTGTGTCACATCGGTCAGTTTTTGAGGGTTTCTCTTGGCTTGGAGCTCAGAGTCACTCTCTGTAAGTGCTTCTGGGACCATGTAGTGACAGAGATCCATCCAATCTGGGCATCTGGTATGCAAAACATGTGTTCCAGCCATTTGAATCTTCTCCTTGCTCCTGATTTTTTAACAGAGACTATCACTGTCACTGTCACTGTCCTGTTGTTCATCAATTTGCTTGAGCAGGCCCAGTAACATTGTGAGACTTGTTACTGTGTTTTGCATATCGAATATGACACGTGTAGCTTGCCAGCCTTTGCAGTGTGGGTGAGATACTCTGGGTAGCTTGCCGGGCTCTTCGAGAGGGGTGGAAGAATCAAATCACAGCCATGTTGGCTGTGTGCAAGGCAAACGTGCTACCTGCTGTGTTATCGCTCCAGTCCGACAAAGACTATATGTAACATATATGAATATAATATCCCCTGATACTTCTCTTTCTTCTGAACTACTTTGTGTAGCGTGACTCCCTACTGTTTAACTCGATGTTGCAGATTGAAAGATTTCACCTTTTCTCTCCCCTATTGAGTAGTATTACATTGTGTAGATAAAACACATTTTTCTTATCCACTCATTTATTGTTGGGAACTTGGGTTTATTTTTTATCTTGAAAGAAAACCTAGGGTTGGAGGAACAAAGTGGCCATGTGCTTGTAAACTGGGAATCTCATTCACTTCCAGAATGGAAATTCTTTGGCACCATGGCAGATAATGATTACACACTCTGTGTTTCATTTTGTTGGTAAATTTAGGGCACTTGGCAAGCCTGGCCTGACCTAAAATGTGAACCTATTCTTCCTAACCAACATATTTTAAATCATCTAATTTATCACTCGGTCTCTTACTTTTAGCTATGACTATTAGTGCTAAATGAGGATTGTTTAAACTGTTTTTATTTTCTCTATCTGCAAACAAGGATTTCAGTAATTTTGTGTAATAATGGACAGAAAAGTCCACAGATAGATATAGAGGATAGATATAGTGTGTGTGTGTGTGTGTGTGTGTGTGTGTGTGTGTGTGTGTGTACACTCGCACATGCCCATGACAGGCAAAATGAGGGCCAGAGGTAGGCTGATGAGTGCTTAGGTCTGGTGGGCTCAGGGAGCCATGCAGTGCTGCATGTGGAACTGAGGGTCTCATGTAGGCATTTCTATACCACTTGAGCCACATACCCATCCTAGTAGGTCTTTTTAATGAAAACGCAAACATCAATATATACTCTTCTCTGTATGATTTATTGAACTGAATAAATTGAACCAGTGGGCACCAGTAACGTCTCCATTGTGAGACTTGCTGTTACTGTTTTTGGCATATCAAATATGCCACAGGGAGCTTGCCAGGCTTTGCCGTGTGGGCGAGATACTCTCGATAGCTTGGTGAGGTCTCTGAGAGGGGTGGAGGAATCGAACCCGGGTCGGCTGAGTGCAAGGCAAACGCTCTACCCACTATGCTATCGCTCCAGACCTTTGGTGATAATAGTAACATCAATTTATATTTTAATTTACCAAAACCAAGCCCATATTTTTCTCAAATATTTGCTATTGTTTTTTGACTATTCAAATAAACAATTTTAACTTCTTGATGATATTTTAATTACTATAAAATATTATAAAATATTTTGTATGACATTATATACAATGAGGTATCAGTATGAAAGGCAATCTTTGTTCATCATTTAAAATTTGTTATTATTTTAAATAGATTTATCATCATTTCATAATATTAAATAGTTTAGGGGTTTTAGCTTCCATTTTTCTCTATATCACAACTTATATCATATTTATCACATTTTATGGTGAATAGATAAAATTTTCAAAATTTAATTTTACTTTATAATTTCTCAAATACTCTTGGGTGTTTGAATTTAATAAAATTTTGCTTCAGTACTCTTAAAATTATTTTATGAGCTCAAGTTCAAAAGTGAATTCAGAAATTCATAAATATCCTTCACTTTTTTATTGTTGTTGCTGTTTTCTAAAACCCTGTACTGGGTCTATTTGAACTTCTTTTCCTGTTAATGATACAAATAGTGGTACTGACAATAATACTAATAGCTGCCAGAGTTCCAACCACCGCCAACACCACAGTAGAAATACTAATTCCAGAACTAGGATAATAATTTTCCTCTTGTTCATCATCTGCTTGAGAAATAAACAATGCTACTTGTGCAATGTTGAATATTTCAGATTGTTGACCGCTATCATCCACACTTTGAATGGCAAAGAACATATGAGTTGCATCTTCTCTTGCTACATTTTCTTGTTCAAATGCAAATGTTTCCTTGGAGTTGAAGTCCTTTGGTATCAGATTGTTAGTGCTTACTTGCATGGCACCATCAAAATTGTCTTTTAGATCAAGGATATTTCCACTTTTTCTTATGATATACTGTCGAACTAAAAAAAATGCATAAAAGTTAGAAACAGCATATAATACTAAATTCCCTTTTATTCATTCACCTCAAAAATGATCATTTAAGCAATGTTTAGTCCCCAAAGGCTAGGTTTTTTTATGAAAGATGAATTTTGATTTTATATCTTTGCCAGGTGATACTTCTGTGTATGAAAATTGCAGCTGTTAAAGTGTGCTCTGTTTTATTGATTCAAACATGAGTTTATATAGTAAATATTTAAAAAGATACCAATTAAAGACAGTTTTATTTCAGCTACTTTTACTCTTGTTTTTGAAATGATCATCATTCACTCCACATAATACTTCATCCTTACCTTTTCCAATATCTAAATCATCTCCTGGTGCGGTCCATGTTAAAGTGATCATATTCCCCTCACGCGTGGCCTCAAGATCTGTGATTTGACTTGGTGGGAAATAATATAAAGGGGAGCAATTGAAACTAGGTGGAATGCCTGAAAGTACAAATGTACCTCCAGCTGCCACTCTGCTGAAATTCTCCACCTCTGTTTGAATTTCCTTATCAGTCTCAGGTCTTGGTGTATTTCCTTGAATTTCCCCTGGAATAAGAAATTCCTGCTATTTTTTTTTTTAAATTTTTTTCCCTTTATTTTATTTTATTTTTTTTAAAGTTGTAGATTTACAATTTTTGTGCTTTGGTTTCAATTATACAATGATCAGATACCCATCCCTCCACCAGTGCCCATTTTCCACCACCATGGATAATATCCCTCCCACCCCCATCCCCCCATCCCCCCTGTCTCTGTGGCAGGGCAATCCCCTGTGTTCTCTCTCTCCTTTTGGGTGTTGTGGTCTGCAAAAGAGGCATTGAGTGGCAAACATGTTCAGTCCATAGTCTACTTTCGACATGCATCTCCCCTACTGGGAGGATCCTCCAAACATCCTTTATTTGGTGCTCCCTTCTCTATCTGAACTGCCCTTTCCTCTAGGATACCCGGCTGGCCTCTAAGTTATGGAGTAATCCTCCTGGTGCTGATCTCAGCTATTCTTGGGTATTAATCTCATACTTTGTTACTTTATATCCCCCAGATGAATGCAATCTTTCTATGTCTATCCCTCTCTTTCTGACTCATTTCGCTTAGCATGATACTTTCCATGTTGTACCACTTGTATGTAAATTTCATGACTTCATCTTTTCTAAGAGCTACATAGTACTCCATTGTGTAGATGTACCAAAGTTTCTTTAACCAGTCATCTGTTCTTGGGCATTCAGGTTTCTTCCAGTTTCTGGCTATTGTAAAGAGTGCTGCAATGAACAAACAAGTGCAGATGTCACTTCGACTATACATTTTTGCCTCTCTGGGATATATTCCCAGGAGTGGTATTGCTGGGTCAAATGGGATCTCAATTTCTAATTTTTTGAGAATCGTCCATACTGTTTTCCAGAAGGGCTGAACCAGTGGACATTCCCACCAACAGTGAAGGAGTGTCCCTTTCTCGCCACATCCACGCCAGCATCGGTTGCTTTTGTTCTTTTGAATGTGGGCCAGTCTCTGAGGTGTGAGATGGTATCTCATTGTGGTTTTGATCTGCATCTCCCTGATGATTAATGATGTAGAGCATTTTCTCATGTGCTTTTTTGCCATTCGGATTTCTTCTTTGAGAAAGTTTCTGTTCATTTCATTGCCCCATTTTTGGATGGGGTTGGATGTTTTCTTCTTGTGGAGTTTAACCAGTATTTTGTATATCCTGGATATCAACCCCTTGTCAGATGTGTATTCGGTGAATATCCTTTCCCATTCTGTAGACTGTCTTTGTATTTTGGTCACTGTTTCTTTGGAGGTGCAGAAGCTTCTTAGTTTAAGATAGTCCCATTTATCTATCTCTGTTTTCACTTGCTCGGCCAGTGGCGTGGCATCTTTGAAGATACCATTAGCTTCAATGTCATGGAGGGTTTTGCCAACTTTATCTTCAATGTACCTTATGGTTTCTGGTCTGATGTTGAGGTCTTTAATCCATTTTGATCTTACTTTTGTACATGGTGTTAGGCAGAGTTCTGAGCCTATTTTTTTTGCATGTAGCCGTCCAGTGATGCCAACACAATTTATTAAAGAGGCTTTCCTTACTCCACTTCACATTACTTGCACCTTTATCAAAGATTAGATGAGCATATGATTGAGGAGAGATGTCAGTGTATTCAACCCTGTTCCATTGGTCTGCAGTTCTGCCTTTGTTCCAGTACCATGCTGTTTTAATTATTACTGCTTTGTAGTACAGTTTGAAGTTCGGGAGGTTGATTCCTCCCATTTTCTTTTTCCCAAGAATTGCTTTAGCTATTCGTGGGGGCTTATTGTTCCATATAAATTTCAAGAGTGTTTGCTCCATTTCTTTGAAGAATGTCATGGGTATCCTTATAGGGATTGCATTGAATTTATACAATGCTTTCGGTAGTATTGCCATTTTGACAATGTGAAATTCCTGCTATTTAATGGATCAAATGTACAAGTATTTTTCAGAACCCAGTGAACTGAATTCCCTATTAATTCCACTTCCCTTTCATCCCAAATATACACAAGTAAAATTGTATTTGAGTTTGGTGACAAAATTGCAAATGTTTGTGGGTGGAAGAATCTTTCTTTAGTAATCTGACCAGGATTTTGTAGGAAGAAGTGCGACAGTGAATGTTGTCGCACTTTGGAATGAATGTTGCACTGAATCCCTACTGAATATATGCCTTTAAATTTTTCCTCCATGGTGCTTTCTATTACTTTTTCATTTGAGAAAGTTTTTCCTTGGAACCACTTGTGCCAGGCTCCTCTCTTCCTTCCTGTTACAAGTTTTAAGAAATAATTCTTGGTATTTTATTCTAATTGCTCTCAGAAATCCCCTAAAAGTCAGAAGATAAGGAACGAGAAATAGAAAAGCTAATAAAGAATGTATTCTGTGAGTTTTCAAGAAAACGCTGTGGCAGCATGCAGGATGCAAACAGGGACTCCAGTGTTCAGTGACCTAGAACAGCCTCCCCAGGCCGGCCCATGGTGGTGGATGGACGATGGGCAGAGAAATGGAGAAACAGGGACCTGAACTCCAGGCCAGTCAGTAGTCAGTTTATTTCTCTCTCCAATTGGCCTCGTCCGATCTCTCCCCTTTCTTCACGATCATGGTCATAGTTTGGTCATAGTCATCATTGTTCCATCATCATAGTCTCCTCGTAGACCTCAAAGTCCTCTAGTTCCAGTCTTCGTCATCACGTAGTCCTCCTTCTAGTTCCAAAGTCCCAAAGTCTCCAAAGTCTCCAAAGCCTAAGTTTTCATCCTCCTTCTAGTTATTGACTTTCTAGTCTTCAACATCTAGTCCTGACTTTCTAGTCCCCTCCTACCCCTTATAGCATTGTTATGTAGCAATCATGAAGGGTGGGTATATACAAAGGTGGGGTTGAACAGTATCATAATAACAAACAGAGGTAAAGTCATTCCTTCAGGAGATTAACTCAAGGGCAAAAACCTCATCTGAGGAGATTCATGGTATCGCTGTTATCCTGTTGTTCCTCAATTTACTGGAGCCAGTGCCAGTAATGTCTCTATTCCTCCCAGCCCTGAGATTTTAGCAGCCTCTTCTCACTCTTTTTCCCCCAGTGATTGGAGGCTCTTTCAGGATCAGGGAAATGAGAACTGTTGTTGTTACTGTTTTTGGCATATCGAATATGCCACAGCAAGCTTGTCAGGCTCTGCCCGTGAGGTCGGGATACTCTTGGTAGCTAGCCAGGCTCTCCAAGAGGCATTTTGTTGTCTACTGTCTGAACCCCATCAAATATGGTGTGGTAATTATGGAAAATGGGTAGGAAGTGTCTTATAATGTTTGTGAGGCCACTTTGTGGCTGCGTGGTCCGAAAAGTGGCCTGGAGCATCGTGGCTGTTGGGTAGTGGAGGTTGCTGCTTGGACTCGGTCCCTTGAGGCAGGGAGGGCTCTCACCTGGAGTCTGAGGAGATTACTCTAGTAGGAGATCTGCTCAAGGGCTGGATTCCATCCAGGGTATACTGCTTTTTCCTTTCCTCAACTAATAATCCATTTAAAGAACCCTAAAAAATTTACTTCTGGGGCATAGCGATACCACAGTGGGTAGGGTATTTGCCTTGCATGCGGCTGACCCAGGTTCGATTTCTCCATCCCTCTCAGAGAGCCTGGCAAGCTACCGAAAGTATCCCGCCTGCACAGCAGGCCTGGTAAGCTACCCAAGGGTATTAGATATTCCAAAAACTGTAACAAGAAGTCTCACAGTGGAGATGTTACTGGTGCCCACTTTAGCAAATCGATGAACACAGGGCAACAGTGCTACAGTGCTACAATAAATTCACTTATAATATTTCTAGTCATTTTGTATGAACACAGTAAGAGATATATTAAGCTTAAAGCTTGGCTCTTCCTGGGGACATGTTGCTATATATGCCAGACCACAGACCTTAGGCCAGGTAAGTCTTTCCTAAACCCAACAGGGTCCTTATTCAGTTGTTTCTTTTTAGGTCATGACAGAGTTTGTCCATGACCATGCTCTTAACTTATAGTTAAGTATTATGGTGCTAAGCCTGACCCATTTCGATGTCAGAGTAGCTCACAGCTTGCCCTGGGTCCATCCAGTCCCTCATCGGGACCCTGCTTTTGGAGGGCTGGGAGCTAAGGGCAGCTGAGGCTTAAGTCAAGTAAATATGGATGCTCAGGAGTAAGTATTATTTTGGAGTCAATTAACTTCCATGCTATAAAGCATAGCATGAACTGTCTTCCAGTGACCATACAAAAAGGACATTACTAAATAAACCATGCCAATGACATACAGGAAAGAGAAAAACAATATAGGATGATTAGTGCTTGATGGAATTGGGTGTGCCTCAAGGGCACTGTTATGGGAATGACTCAATAAAACTTAAGCTCCCTGGGGAAAAGCAAGGAAAACCCACTGTTATCCAACAGTATCCTTAATCTTTATCATAACCTTTCTCAATATATTTTTGTCCTGTAACTTAAAACACTCAAACTATGTTTATATTTCTGTATAATTATAGTATATTTAAGTGAAGTATAAATTTTGCATTGGTTTATATTTAAGCACATAATATAGTCCCCTGATTTCTTTACCTTGAACTGAAAATTAAGGACATTATTGATAATATAGTAGTATCCTTCAAACTAATGTAGCAATGGATTAGATTTATTCATTGATTACAAGATGTCATACAATTTTCCAATGATTATATCAAACTGGGAGGCAAATTCCTTTATGACTATGAACTTCATTATAGGAGATGAAAAACCTGCAGCTTAGTTATAAACTGTATGAAGCTATATTTATTTATTCCTTAAATTGTATTTTCTTTTTATAGTTTTTCATAATTTATTACAGTCAATACTGCAACACCAATCCTATCACCATTACAGCTTCCCACCACCATTACTTTGAATTTTTCCAAACACCACCAAAGACTGCCCCAATAGAGGGCTCTTAATAATTTATTTTGTATTGATTATTATGAATACTTTGCTAAAATATTCAAAATGTATGGCGATTTAACAATATCAACCTATAATTCTTTAAGTCAGCGTAAGATCTAAGACATTATGAAGCACTCACCATTAACCACCCAGCCTGGTACAAATGCTGCTGTATTTTGGAGATGTCTTAAGCTTCTCATGGCAGTTGCTCCTCCTTGAACCTTTACTTTTAAGTTATATCGGCCATCATTTTTAAAATCTATAAAATATCTGGAGTAGACCCCATCATTCTTTATAGAATCAGCACCTTGTTTTAGAAAAGAAATAGTGAACTACTTTTTTAATGAAAATTGTGCCTTTTTGAGTCAAACATTTGTTTATATTACAACCATTTGATTGGGTTCTGTGTGAGATATACATATATATATGTTATGTCTACTATAATGTTTAATGATATATTTTTACATAGATACTCACAGTATATTTGTTTAATATTACATATACTGATATTTTTATCTTAAACACCTTTATCTTACAAAATTATAAATAGATTATCATAAAACTTTTTACTATTTCTCAACCAACTGGTAAATGGCTTGCCGTCTGACTTTACTTAAACTTATTGAGGTGTCTGTTCAAATTAAATGAATTCCATTAAATGCTTATTTTTATATAGAATTTAATTCCCACTTTACTCATCAATATATTACTTTGACTTAAAAAAAATCTTCACTTCCCGATGACTGTGATCCAGTTAACTTCCTAGTCTGACATTGCAAAACTCTTACTTTTTATTAGAAACACTTTAGGGGGGAAAGTCAGAAATACCCTCTCATAAGTATATTTCTTGGTAATACAAGCACTGGAATCACTTGTTAAATGGCAAATACATTTCATAGAAGGATGATGATCCTGGAAGAAAAAGGTTCTTATGGTAAGTTTTTTGAACCTGTGTCCCACTGTGGATCATGGATGGAACACAAATTTCTCAGACCTCTCTGTGAAGGGCCCTATATAGTGTGTATTAAGAATCTTTTAGGGTTAGAGTATGTACTGAAGCACCTCTTTTGGCACTGTCCTTCAGCATTTTTCTTTACATAGGAAGTACCACAGAGTCCAGGTGGAGATCTCTGGGAGGATAGCATCACTGATATGTGGGCAAGTAAATTATAATGTGTCACAGAAGAATTTGGAAAAGAGAAATACTTTACTTTCTAAAGTTTTCAAAAAGCTAAGATGAGTCAATAATAGTTATAAATGGATTGAATCCATTACATTTCAAAAGACACTGATTGAAACTTTTGAGAAGTCATATGCTTATATTACATTTTATTTGCCTACTGACTTATTAGAAGAAAGTGAATTTCTGAAAACAATTTAGTGTCTTGTAAAAAAAAGTATGCAAGCACCGTTTATCCATACAAATCAGGATACAGAAGACAATAGTCAACACTCATCTTATTTCCTGCCAATCAGACTTGGTGTATGATACCCCAGGACTTTCCAACTCCCTTGTGGCAGTTCTGCTACCATTAGGCCTCAACACCCAGGATTATTTGTATTTTGTAGGTTGTATTTTGTTTCAGCTACTGGGAATCACTTTGCCTGTCCCTCCCTACCGAGGACTGAAGATTTACCCTTCGCCTCATATGACCACTAGTGTTTTATCCTTCTGTCTAGTCTTTCAATATGATATTTGAAACACTTAAAATATGAAGAAATACTTGTTAAGAATCTTAATTTTTTTTTTGGATTACACCCTGCAACGCTCTGGGGTCACTCCTGGCTTGCACTTAGGAATTACTCCTGGCGGTGCTTGGGGGACCATTTGGGATCCTCGGAATCAAAACTGGGTCAGCCTCGTGCAAGGCTGTGCTATTGTTCCAGACCAAGAATCTTAATTTTTTGTCCTCAATAGCCTGATGAGACATCATTAATTTAAAAGTGATATTGGTTGGGAACATAAAAAACAATGTCTATTCTTGTTATAGAGATCAATGCAAATGACATGTACAGAGTTTTTCTTTTTTAATGTAGGAGTACTGCTATTTACTCAGCCACTGATTAGCTGATTGATTTGGGCATGAACTTCACCTTACTTTTTTTCCCGTAGTTTTTATTTATTTATTTTTCTTCTTATAATTATTTATTGAATCACTGTGGGAAAAGTTACTAAGCTTTCAAGTTTAAGTCTTGGTCATACAATGATCAAACAGATAATTACGAGATTGGTTTTTGTACGTCTGGTGTTATGGCTGTGCCGGAGAGCTGCTCGTGGGGGGTAACTCATGAACTCGGTAGGGAGTGAAGGACGAGCTGCTACTGCCCCCCTTTCCATGAGACTGCAGTTGCCCTGTAACTGCGGGCTCATACCTGGCTTTCCTATAAGCTCTGAGGCGGTGGCCACCTTGCTGCAGGGGGGTGAGGGGGAGGCGGAAGGGAGCAACACCCTTTCCCTCCTGGGGAGGCATGGTGCTGGAGTTTAATGCATGGTCCATTTACTTTTCTGCCGCAAGCTGCCTGGCTCTGGACTAAGTCCTTTTGCCTCTGGAGCCATGGCCGTGCCAGAGAGCTGCTTGTGGGGGACAACTTGTGACCTCGGTAGGGCATGAAGGATGAGCCGGTACTGACCCCCTTCCCATGAGACTGCAGTTGCCTCATCACCACCGGCTCATACCTGGCTTTCCAATAAGCTCTGAGCTTATAGGAAAGCCACCTTGTATGTGGTCCAGATGCATTTCTGCCAAAAGCCGCTGGGTTTCAAGATTTGTTTCTGAACCTCTGGGATCATGGCTGTTAATCAGCTTAATCAGGAGCCAGAGAGGCTGTTTGTAGGTGGTGACCCGGGGTCCTACTGGAATGGGGAGGAAAGGGCCGGTTCCACCCCCATCTGGTGAGGCCCCACGTATCTCGTCACTGCAGGCCCAAACCTGACTGTCCTGTGGTCTCTGGAAGATGGCGGTCACTGAGCTGCCAAAGGGAACAGTCCAAGGCACAAAACCTATTCCTGCCTGGAGTGGCCCAGCCCCAGTAACCTACTGCAGGAACAGGACGCATTTCTGCCAAAAGCCTTTGGGTTCTGAGATTCGTTTCTTAGTCTGGGATCATGGCCATTAAGCAGTTCGATTAGGAACCAGAGAGGCCATGCCTCCAGTTATATAGCTGAGCCGGAGGTGGTTTGTGGGTGTGTCTCCCACATACCTAACTTTTGGCCGTTTACTTTCTTGGTAAACTTTGCCCCAAGTTTTTGGGGTCTGGCCAAAGGTACAGCAGCAATTTTGGGGTATCTGGAAGTCTGAAAGCATCATCAGACTTCTGCTGCATTCGCTTCACAGGTACAGATTGGCCTGCTGGTGGCACCATACCCCCACATTTACAGAGTTTTTACCATGTGTAAACTATATGATAGCCACTTACAGATTTTACCTAGATACACTTTTTTTGCATCTTCAATAATATTCATCAATTCTTATGGTGTTTGTCTTATTGTTCCTTAACATGAAAACATAAAAACACCTGTGAATTACCTGCACCATTTTCCAGGAGTTCCAAAGTTGTGGTTCCCTGGCTTGATTCAATGATGGCTGTCACAGAGGCTCCAAGAATGGGTGTAAAACCTTGTACAACTTCTGCATACACAACCACAGGGTTGGGGAAATCATATGTGCTTTGATTCATTTTAGCATTCACTGTGATTGGAGGCACAGAAGAATTTGCTGCTCCAGAATTTACTGTAATTGTTAGTATTTCCTCATTTGCTTTGGCTTGAAGACTGTAAGTCCAAATGCCAGCCTAAAAATTCAATGGAAATATGATAGGTATCCAAGATCAAGTTCTTTTATGCATTTCTATTTTCTTACTCCAAAATATACTTTACAAATGTGTTGCATAATAAATAGGGGGTTGAGAGTTTCAAAGATTGGAGGGTAAAATAGGATGAGATGAAAAATTTGGACAAGGTATAAGTTGTAACGCATATGCACCTTTATGAAACCTTAGGAAGAATAAATTTTTGAAAATTTACTATGTGTTTGTCCTCGACTTCCACAGTCTATGATGTGATGTTTAAGAAGTAATTTTGGGGGCTTGGACAAATAGTACAGCAATTAACGTATTTTCCTTGCATTTAGCCAACCCAGATGCAATTCCTGACAGCACATGGACTGCTGAGCAATGAACCTGGAGCAGTTGTGAATTCCACCAAATTGGTCCAATGCTTCCCACTTCTCAAAATATACACATAAATAGGTGTGTTGTCCATTCTTTTACTATATATATAGTAAGAAAGTTAGAAGGTTTTGGCTGCATATATATACTATATATATAGTTTCAGCTATTCAAAGTTCTCTTAAAATATTTTTTCTTACTTCTAATGCATGGGCTGGAGCGATAGCACAGCAGTAGGGCGTTTGCCTTACAAGCGGTCAACATGGTTGACCCGACTTCGATTCCTCCACCCCTCTCGGAGAGCCTGGCAAACTACCGAGAGTATCTCGCCCGCACGGCAGAGCCTGGCAAGCTACCCGTGACATATTTGATATGCCAAACACAGTAACAACAAGTCTCACGATGGAGACGTTACTGGGCCCGCTCGAGCAAATCGATGAACAACGGGAGGACCTTGACCGTGAACACTTCTAATGCATTAGTTCTTTCTTCTTTTTGCGCCACAATAATTTTCAGGATTATGTGTGTACAGCAAATGCTTTGTATTTCATCTTAATTTTTTGGATATGCTATAAGTATTGACACCTGTATTAATATGTGGAATTTTTCATCTTTGGAACAAATTTTAAAGAAAGTGTAAATACTGATTGATTACCTTTGCAATTCCTGGAATACTGAGGTAGGCCATATTGGAATCTTTATATTCTGTGAAATTTTCCATCTTTGTTCCTTCGGAATCGTAGAGGGAAACTAAGGGTAACTCTTTGATCCATGTGATGAAAAAGAATGTGTCCCTTCCCATAGTGCTATCAATGATTATAGTGTTATTTATCCAGTTACTTCTGCTGAGCGTTCTCACTCTGCTTTCAAGCCGTTTAAACAAAATTTTGAGTTAGAAACTTAAGAAGAGATTGCTTTCATTCATTTTCATTCTTTAAATATGTACTTTTAAATTTTTGGTCTCACAACAAACTTATATATAGCATGGCATACAACCTTAAGCTTTTGATTTATCTCACAGCTGATTATTATATGATGGGTGATAGAAAGCACACAAATATAGAATCTGAGGAGGGGGCAGGGTATGACAAAATGCACTTGAGCAGGGCCAGAGTCTCAACAATGAAGGGTTTCACCATGTTTTACGTTTCTTGGGTGTCATAGCAAATACCTACTTCAAGGATGAATTAGGTGCTATGTGTGTATGCATGTGTATGCCTGCGTATGCTATCATTGATTTACTTATTTTTATGCTCACTTAATACTTCTTGTTTGTGGCAGAGTATTTAAATAGAAATAAAATAAGGTAAGGAGTGGGGGCTCTCAAGAGGGCCATTAACACTACCACATAATGAGACAAGCACATATGGATATTTTATTGACTTGAAATCTTAAAATTTTCTCACATGGTAGAGTGAGTAACTGCACAGTAAACATATCCATTAAGTCTGGAATTTTGAGAATACCAGATATGAAAGTTTTCTCCTCAGGGCTCTTTGTAGGGAGATTTTTCAAGTCTGTGGATAGCTCTTAGTCAAGGAGAGCCAGTTATGTCCAATACCTAAGAACACACACTCTGCTCTTGTCACTTTAATGATGGGAAGTCACACTTCTGCAACTCAGTCCAAAACCATAAATACTTTTACCTAAGAGGTAACATAAAGGATGTGTTCTTTTTTTTTTTTTGCTTTTTGGGTCACACCTGGCGATGCACAGGGGTTACTCCTGGCTCTGCACTGAGGAGTTACTCCTGGCGGTGCTCAGGGGACCATATGGGATGCTGGGAATCGAACCTGGGTCGGCCGCGTGCAAGGCAAACGCCCTACCCGCTGTGCTATCTCTCCAGCCCGAAGGATGTGTTCTAATTGCATCATTGCTCACAAAAATCCTAGCCCTATGAATATAGCACTACTATCATATTATATGGAGATATAAATGACCATTATATGGAAGTATAAATGACTTATTTTAGACTTCCATTCAGAAAACTGTAAGAAAGTTAGAAAGTTTTGGCTGCATGGTAAACCTATGCAAAAATCACTGAATGGAAATTGGTTTGCTTCTCTTTTGAGTTCCCACGAACTCAGATTATTATACTTCTACGTAGTTATAATCTTCTTCAAAGAGCTACCCAACAGTTACATGAATTCTATATTTTTATTTCCAAAACTTTCTTCCAATTATTTATTTAAAAAGCTATTGGTATTTCAAGTGGAGAACAAAAACTGTCTTCCTGCCTGTCCCTTTCGTTGGTTCAAAAAATTTATTCTTAAAACATTAAGAATATCGCATAGACAAACATATCTTTTCTAGCTGATTTTTAAATTCTGGTCTTAGACTTTAAATTTTCTTTCAGATATTTAATTTTAGTATATTACCATCTACTCACATTTAAAAAGTTTAACAGAATGCAAAATAATCCTTAAAATCATTACTTTAGGGGCTGAAGTGATAGACCAGTTGATTGGGTACTTTCCTTGCATACAGCTCACCCAGATTTGAATACCAGCACCCCATATTGACCCCAGTGCCTGCCAGGAATGATAATCCCTGATCACAGAGCCAGGAGAAAGCCCTGAGTACTGCTGGGTGTTGCTCTCCCACATGCAAGTCACTTCTCTATTGCATTTTTTACTTGTTTATTCATTGATACCAAGGAATATCACTTACACCTGAACTCTGGTCAAAATGCAAACATACTATAAACAAATATTGATAATACAAACTCCAAAAATGTATTTTAAATATTGAATAAAAAAACTGACATTAGAGAATTAGTTAGAAAGACATTGTAGGGGAGCTCAGCCAAGAGCCGCCCCTGACCACAGCCACACGCCGATCCCCGCCGAAGGACAGCCTGGAGGCCCCGCCGCGCGTCCAGCTCTGTGGGACTGGCCCAGCAGTCCATTGCCCCCCCCATCCCGATTCCCGTTGAAGGACAGTGTGGAGGCCCTACCACGAGTCCAGCTCCGCGGGACTGGCCCAGCAGTTCATCGCCCCCCCCTCCAGGTGGGTAGGGGGAGCCCAGCTGAGAGCCGACCCTGAACCCAGCTGTGCGCCGCCCATCGATTCCCACCGAAGGACAGGGGAGGCTGTCCACCACCCTTCCTCCATTCCAGGATCCTGGGAGGGAGTGGCCTGGGTCGGGCTAGGGGCGTGGCCTCAAAGAAGGGGGCGTGGCCTCCAAAGTGGGTGTGGCTTTCTTCCTGGCCATCGGCGGGCCGCTAATGTGGCCGCAGGTATATCACTCACTCCAAGCAATCAGGACTTTCATCCCACAACTTGTCACCTAATATCAACCAAAAATCTCTTGTCACCTAATATCAACCAAAAATCTCTCACCTCTTCTACTACAATTTAACAACATCCCACTCGCCTACTCCATTTCCAACAAAAGTCCTGTTTGAAAATAGCTGTACAAGCTCAGTACTAAATAGCACCTCCTCCAAAAGTTTCACTCAATGTCCGTTATAAAACAAAGAATAACGCCTGATTGAGAAGAAGGTCAGACTCAGAAAGGTAGAAGAGGCCCATCTTGCAGCAACAAAGCTGAACGGCTCCTGGCAGTCTCTCCTCAATTAACCAGAATAGTAACAGTGAATGTGAAGGACTAAACCACACTGGCCACAATGGTAAAGCAACGAAATAGTCCACCAAACTTTCTTATTAACGAGGATAGCCCAGAAGACACCAACAGTATTGTAGTGTTAGACAACCTCTCTGACAAGGAATTCAGAAGGGAGCTACTTAGGATGCTTAGGGAACTAAAAGAAACAATGGAAAGCAATGCCAATAAAAGACAAGAGGATTTGAAGGCAGAAATGAGGAAAATGCAATCGGAAATGTCGGATGTGAAAAACCTGGTAGGCGAATTGAAAAACTCAGTGGAAGGCCTCAGCAGCAGAGTAACAGCTGCTGAGAACAGAATCAGTGAGCTCAAAGATGAAGTTCAGAGACTCTCCAGAAAAGAGCAGAAAATGGAAAAGAGACTCACAGTTCGGGAACAGATGGCAAGAGAAGATCGTGATGACGCCAAGAGGGGTAACATAAGAATTATTGGAGTCCCAGAGGGACAGGAAGAAAATCTTGATGAAGAAGAAACTGTCAAAGACATCATTGCTACAACGTTTCCAGAGCTGAAGAAAACTTGTGACCACATTCAGGAGGCCCGAAGGGTATACCAGCTAGAAGAAATCCAAATAAAAATACCCCAAGACACATCCTGATCAAAATGACCAAAACTTTAGACAGAGACAAAATTCTGAAAGCAGCAAGATCGAAGAAAGAAATCTCTTACAAAGGAGCATCCTTAAAATTCACTGCTGATTTTTCTGATGAAACCCTCATGGCCCGCAGACAGTGGTGGGACATAGTGAAAAAACTCAGTGAAATAAATGCCTCTCCAAAAACACTTTACCCAGCGAGACTCTCATTCATAATACAAGGAACAACACACAGTTTCACAGACAAACAACACAGACAAACAACAGCTCAGGAACTTCATAGACTCAAAACCATGGTTATAAGAACAACTAAATGGGCTACTTTAAGGCAAGACAGGCCCCTCAAATACACCAAATTTCAACAGAACAATGAGGCAAAATCCCATAACAATAATCTCTCTCAATGTCAATGGGCTAAACGCACCAATTAAAAGACATAGAGTGTCAGGATGGATTAGAAGATTGAAACCAACATACTGCTGCCTGCAAGAAACACATCTCAATAGTCAAAGCAAACACAGACTCAGAGTCAAAGGCTGGAAAACAATCCTACAGGCAAACAATCCCCATAAAAAAGCTGGGGTAGCCATCCTAATATCAGACCACATCGATTTCAGAGTGAAGAATGTCATAAGAAACAGTGAAGGCCATTTCTTATTGATCAAAGGATCTGTACAACACGAAGAACTTACAATAATAAATGTATATGCACCTAATGAGAGACCAGCAAAGTACTTAAAACAACTACTCATAGATTTGGAAAAAGACATCAATAGCAACACAATACTGGTGGGAGACTTCAACACCGCTTTGTCACCTCTTGATAGATCAACCAGACTCAAGCTTAGCAAGGACATACTTCATCTGAGGGAAACAATGGAAGAAAGGGACTTGGTAGATATATACAGGACACTTCATCCTCAAAAAGCTGAATACACATTCTTCTCAAGCGTACATGGAACATTCTCCAAGATAGACCACATGCTGAGCCACAAAACATACCTCCATAAAATTAAGAAGATAGAGGTTGTATCAACAATCTTCTCAGACCACAATGCGCTGAAATTAGAAGTAAATCACACACAAAAACAGAAAACTAAATCAAACACCTGGAAATTAAACAGTGCTGTATTGAACAACGAGTGGCTTAGAAAGGAAATCAAAGAGGAAATCAAAAGATTCCTTGAAACGAATGAAAATGAGAACAAGAGTTACCAAATCTTATGGGACACAGCAAAAGCTGTCTTAAGAGGAAAGTTTATAGCTCTACTAGCATTCCTCAGAAAGGAGGAGCGAGCCCAGAAAAATAAACTAACCTCACAGCTTAAGAACTTGGAGAAGGACCAACAAAAGGAGCACAACCCGAACAGGAGGAAGGAAATAATAAAACTCAAAGCAGAGATAAACGAGATGGAAACCAAAAAAAAAAAAAAAAACCCAAAAATCCGAAAGATCAATGAAACCAAGAGCTAGTTCTTCGAGAAAATTAACAAGATCAATAAGCCTCTAGCAAAACTCACAAAGAAAGGGAGAGAGAAAACCCTAATAAACCGAATCAGAAATGAAAAGGGGGTCATTACAACAGAAACTCCAGAAATTCAAAGGATCCTCAGGGAATACTTTGAGAAGCTTTATGC